CACTGCTTGCCTCGGTGTTCCCGAGCTCGATGGGTCTGAACTACTGGAGGTAGTCCGCAGCTAAGGCGCTGAACCGATTTTTGGTGTGCAGGGGCTCGTCTTGAGAGCGCTGAGGTGATGCTGACTTGATGGATCGGGTTCCTGGTCTGCCGGCGCGTAGCGAGGCGGGGGCAGCCGCTCTCTCTCTCCTGCCGAGGGATGAAGCCTGGCTTCTAGAGGGGCTCCGAGCCTGGGAGGCCCGAGCTTGGGAAGCCTCCTGGTGGGGGCACCCGCCTTGAGGGGAGGGCTTGGCTTGCCTAACGGCGGGGTGCTGAGGTGGGAGCTGACTTTGAGGCAGTTGGGGGAACTGCTGCTGGTAGTGGTATTGAGATACATGGTGCAGCATCTGCTGCTGGTAGGTTTGATGTTGTTGAAGCTGGTGCATTTGGGCTTGGATGGCCCGCATGCCATGCACCAGGTCATCAAGCTGTTTCTGGCTGGTTGCCAGGGGAACAATGGTTGGTTCAGCAAAGGTGGTTCCAACAGAGGGAGGAAGGGGGACGTTTATGGCGGGAAGATTCACGAGCGCCACTGTTCGTGGCGCATTCAGGCTGGGGATCCCATCCACCGGAAGGGGGATGGTGAACTGTCCGATGCACACCACGGGGACTTGAAGTTGTTCCCCGGTGGCGTTCATCTCCGTGCTACGTCCGGCATTGCTGGAAGAAGCGATGGGTGTTGGGGTTTCTTGGAAAAAAGGTGCTATGAAAGTTTTAGAGGGAGGCTTTTAGAAGCGTATCCCACAGACGACGCCAATTGATGGAGCGCAATCTGGTCGGTCCTAGCTGTCAACGATCTTGCCTCTGGCTGGGGCGAAAGGTGCCTGAAACGGGGAAGAAAGCGAGTAGTCTCCGGGGAGGAACCCGGTGAGAGTGCTCCGAAGCTCAAGTTAGTATTTTCTCAAAGGCAAGATAAAAACCAGATGGCGCAAAGTTATCATGTACCTCCATTCTTGGGGGGAAGAGGGCCTTGTATAACCACTTCGTGCACTCACTCCCAAGCTCCTATCAGGTCGGGTATCATTACCTCTGCACTTCTACCAGCTTGGGTGTCATCACCTCTGCACTTCTGCCAGCTCGGGTGTCATCACCTCTGCTGGGGTAGACAACCGCCACTGCTCTCTTTGTTGGAGCCGTCTCTGTAACTGGAGGTGGCGGTGGCAGGTGGCCGTTGAAGTACGACTGTCAAGCGTCAGATCCTAAGTCAGTCAGGTGCGCCGCCTCAGGATACAGACTCCTTTGGTGTCAGGTACGGTTGTTCAGTTCGGCGGCCTGGAGACGAAGTGCCGGAGTGGTGTGCGAGGTGGTCTTGAGTTTGGATAGAAGTGTGGCCCGAACTGCCCTGGGGTGGGCCAGTTCGGGTTGTTGCCCTTTTGCGCTCATCGTAAGGCTCGGGGCCAAAGGGAGAGTTCGGTCTCCTTTTGGGGAGCTCGGACCGCTGGTTCCTCCTCTTGGAGCTCGCGCCTTGAGCGCACTGCCGTGCCGAGCTGTCGCTCCTGCCAGGTCACCCTCGGTTGCTTCCTCGTTGGGTGGCCAAGAGGTTGGGCCAAATCTTCCTCCATCAACATGCGAATGAAGTATGACAAAAATTAAGGGTAAGGGAAGTTTTAGATAATTGTCAAAAAAGTTGAGATCAAGACAATATGTAAATAATAAGGGTTGAATTAGTCAATTATCTAAACCATAGAGATACTTTAAGAAATTTGCCCACTTAGCTCGTTTCATTGAAACGGAAATTTCCAAACGGAAAAGTGCATTTTAGACCGGTAAAAGGTAATCCAGGAATTTTTGTACAGTAGATCCTTTACGTGATGTCACATGTCGACGGTCCAGATAGTTAACCGGTAGTGTTAGACAATTGTCAAAAACATTAAGAGTGTTTTAAGACGATTTATAAATAGTAAAGGTAGAGTTTCACAATTAACTAAACAGTAGAAACAGTTTAGGAAATTTGCCCTTTTAATAATATTTACTTAATAAAAATGAAAAAAAAAAATTAACAAGATAAACAAAAAAAAATGACTTGACCCAACTTTGTCCCAGCCAGGCTCGTGCGGTGGGCCATGCCAGGCTTAACCTTTGAAGGATTCGGGCTAGGCAAGCACGACTTGCCCAGCCTATGTGCCCCTATGTGCCAATACGGCACATCCCACTAAAGCACGGTCGACCAACAAAATCGTGAGGTGCTGTAAAAGCACTACCCACATTACATATAAAAATATATAGTTTTATATATTATTGGTATAAATAATAAACCCAATATTTCATATTTATATTAACTTATTAAATTTATATATAAAGTAAAATTAACTTTTAATTTTTTATTTTTTAAGAATGAAATGAAGCAAACTTGGATTAATCCGAATCCGATCGGAATCCCAAGATGGAATCAGGTTCGGACCCGGTAGATCCGGTCGGATTACAGACCTAAACCACATAAAGTTGCGTTGCGTTCACAAGCCGCAGGTGGGGCGGGTTAAAGTCGGTGCAACCCAAATCTAACTTCTAACTTAGAAGCGCTCGCCAAGACAAGAAATGATTCATTCAGGGGAAGGCATCGCCCGACGCCCATCATGAGCCATGAGCCATCACCATCGGTACCGGGTTTACACTTTTTACAGCAGCCAATTGGAGCAAAATATAGTTCGCAATTTAAGGCCACTCTACTCTCCCTCTTACGCCCCACAAGAAAAACCTTCGTTTTTCAAGAAACGGTCATTTTACAAAAACCCCCCTTCCTTTTCTTTGAGTCTTTTTCAACCGTCTCGCATATCTCTGACCTAGGGCATCCAAAGATCCTCGACCTTGACATCTTAACGCATATTTTTCTCTTTCATTTCTCGACAATCATCAGTTTCTTTCTCCTGTTTGCGTCGGATCTTCTGTTTCATGTCCCTCGATTCCTTCTATTTCTTAGCAATTATTTTAAATTAGGGATGGATAAATCCTCTGTCGCTCGCAAAAAATGGCCTTTTTGCCCATGATTTTTCCCTAATTCGAGTCCAGTCCTCCCTGGATCTTAGATGCATTCCACATAGTGTCGTCGATTGCAGTTTTTCTTGCGGCTGATTGTTTGCTGTCTGCATCTGTTCTTTTTGTTGTATTAAGATTGAGCTGTCTCGGTAAATCTGTTTCATTCGTCCAATGAATACACGAGGCAGGTATCCCCCTGGGATCGGCAACGGTCGCGGTGGGAATGTCAACGCAAACCCTAATTTTCAAGCTAGAAACCCTCAACAGCAGTACGTTCAGAGGAATACTGTGCAAAATCAGCAGGCGTTCCAGCAGCAACAGCAATGGCTGAGAAGGAATCCGATGGGAACCGATTCTAGTTCTAACGAAGTTGAGAAAACAGTACAGTCAGAAGCTGTTGATTCGAGGTACAGTTTTTCCTCTTTTTATTCTCGTTTGTTTTTCTTGTCTTGAAAAATTCAAAGTTAGTATGAAAAGTTCAGTAACAATTTGTTGAGCTTCCCATCACTTTTTGCATGGAAAGAGAAGAGAAACCATTGTTGTATCAAATGGGTTGAAACTTGTATCCTTTTCTGATCTAAACCTAATTGATGGGAACTCTTTGCCAAAAATTTTATGCCCTAGGAAGAATTAAACGGTCGCTATGAGCATAAAGTAAAATCAAGATGGAACTCATAAAGCACGGGGCTGCTTGTGAAGAAGGGAGAAGAAAATGGGTGTAATCTGTGAGCTTTTGTACATTTAGCAAAGTTAGTGACCACTTTACAGGGCTTACTGGTGCTATTGTCACGTTTTAAGACGTTTCAAGCTAACTCTCTTTTAAACAAGGAAACACCTTTTAACAAGGTCAATGTAACTCCAAGAACGACAAGGACTGAAGAAAGAGGGGAAAGGAAGTTTAATCTTTCCTATTTAGTTGATTGAAAGATAAGTGATGTATTGCTTTGCGTAAAAAAAGAAAGATTTTAGAACTCTGGAAATGAAATAAAGGAATTGCATTTTCTTACTTTATGGTCCCTGAGGTTTTCATCAGAAAATTGTAACTCTGCACTGTGGAGCTTGGCTGGCACTCACAAGAGAGGTTGGTGCTTTTTGATGACAAAAAAGTTTAGTATTTTTGACTACTATGGTGATGACATATTACTGATTCTGGTGACTTCTTTTGACTGAATTTGGCATTTTAATGACACAAATTTCAACTATGATGTTGACTTGATGAGATATTACAGATTCTGGTGACTCTGTTTGGATACCTTTTCTCACATGTTCTATGAGTTTATCTACCTTGCACCAAGTATTTCATTTGTGAATGAGACTTTTTTTTTTTTTATCATTTCCTTACTTTTATCATAAGATTTCCATTTTTGTGGGAATGGGATTTTCCCTGAAATTGAACTTGCAAAAGTTTCTTTTCTTACAAGAAATGTATGCGCTTACATATCCAGCAATGTGCTCATGGCTCTGAGGCTATCGCCTTTCTATTTACCTTTTCTCAAATTTTTGTGGTGTTGCTTGAAAAGTACCTTGGCAACAAGGATCTTATACTTACATTGTCATGTATAGGAGTCAAAAGTTAAAAAGGTTCCCATGGAGATAAGGTGCATTTGGTCATAAGCTGATTGGAGTATTATCCAAGTGGCAATACATGAGATGCTGGTTGTTGATTCAATTTCATTGTCAGTATTGTCATGACAAGCGTTTGGTTCAAATGCTTGTGGCTGTGCTTTGCAATGCTTTACTTATCAACCCAGAATTTACCTCAGTTTTCCCCTTTACTACATGGAATACTTACTTTTTGATGTTAGTAATGTTAAGAAGTTCTGTCCTTGTCCCAGAAGTGGAGCTCTAATTTTGTTACTACTCTAAGTTCTTTTATTGGATTGCTACTGTCAAGTTCTGATTTATCCAAGATTTAAGATACTAGTTGGTGATAAGAATCTCAGACAGTAGGATTAAAAATGCGGGATCAAACAAAAAATCCCTTAAAATATGAGTGTCTGTTTGCTAAATTATGTTGTTGGAGGGTGTATGATGCTCATGTTTTCCATATCCATTTCAGTGGCATTGAAACAACTACAAAAGGAGCGGTCTCATGTTTTCCATATCCATTTTAGCGGCATTGAAACAACTAAAAGGAGCAGTTCTCCATAGATATAGAAGATTAAGGGAAAGAAAGAGCATTGAACAATTAAATTTCAATTCCATACCTGCATGTTCTAAGATTTTGTTTTTGTTTGTAATGCCACTTCCTGTTTTAGTAAAGTTGCTTGGATGTTACTTGGAAAAAGAATTCATTAAATGTCTCTTGATAGAGTGCAACATTAGAATAAGATTAGTGTGGCTAACCTCAAATGGTTGTAACAGGGCTTTGTTTATTTGGATTGTATCCCTAAATATGTGGAAAAAATAGAGATATACAGGAGTGCAGCAAAGCCTCAAAAAAGACCTCTATGGTGCACTCAGGCCCCTTAACATTCAAATCAGCATTCCAATTAAAAATGAAATCTCTTCTGTTGAGACCTTTAAAAACTTAAAATGCAAATGACAATTAGGAAGCTACCGCCATCTGCACAAAGATGCATAAAAGGCCCTTTTCACCTTTCAGAAGTGCTGCTGACCTGCTGTTCCTTTCCTTCCAAATATTTCAATTCCAAATGGAATGTTCTTCCAGAGAATGTATCCTGTACAGCCCTTCAAAGCTTGTAGTTGAAAGAAAATTTCTGAACTTAGGGGGCATATGACGAAGAGGTGTCAGAGAGAGAAGGGAAAAATTACTACAAGGAAAGTAGAAACTTTAGACATGGTTAGAGACATGCCAAGTTTTACTTTTATGACTCTATTCTTGAGCTTTCTTTTTTATTGTAGTTAACGTTGATTTTGTCCCATAGCAGTATTGTACTATTGCTATACAACTCTGGTACTTTCACTGTCTATGAAGTATGAAGTGCATGATATTTTTGGTTGTTCACTTAAATTTAGTACTTATTCTTTTGTTTTCTACTCTATCATAGTTCTCAAGACTGGAAGGCACGGCTAAAGATACCTCCAAGGGATACACGCTATAAGACAGAGGTATGCATTAAGAAATGGAAATGATTATGCAATTTCGTGTTTTCACTTGTGTACTGCTTCATCCGTTCTTCCCCTTCTAAATTTCATTTACAAGATGTACATGGGCCCTTCTATTAAGTTTGTATGGTTCTCACTGTATGACCTTTATTCTGGGGATTAGCCATGATTCAAAGTATTTACTTTTGCATGCAGTCTAATTTATTTGTCTTATCCTTCCAGGATGTTACTGCTACTAAAGGAAATGAATTTGAAGACTATTTCCTGAAACGTGAGCTGCTAATGGGGATTTATGAGAAGGGGTTTGAAAGACCTTCTCCTATCCAGGAAGAAAGTATTCCTATTGCCTTAACAGGAAGTGATATTCTTGCTCGAGCTAAAAATGGTACTGGGAAAACAGCTGCATTTTGCATTCCTGCATTGGAAAAAATTGATCAGGATACCAACGTTATTCAAGGTGATTATGTATACTATTCAGTTTTTTTTTTTTTTCCTTTTTTTCCTCTTTGATAGTATTATCTAGTCTATACTATTCAGTTGCGATTGTCTTGCAAGAAAAACTGAGCTAATTGTGCATATTTAGATGTGTCATGACAGTATTTTGTTGGAAATAACTTACCTAGTTGAAATAATTAGAATACTTTTTTTCCATCCAAGGAAAGTGTTTCAATAACTTAATTGCATGTGATATATGTGTTAGAGTTAAACTGGTAATTTTTTCTTCTGTTCCCTTGCACTTGGAAAGGTGCAGGTCCTACTGTTGTGAGAGCAATGGCATTGAATATGGGCATGCTTGCTTCATACGATCAAAGTGTGGAGTTTTTCAAGGATACCCTTGGTTTTGGTGAAGCTAGTACAGTTGTTGGAGCAAGTGCAGTTTCAGGATTTTTTGCTTCAGCATGCAGTTTACCATTTGACTATGTTAAAACTCAAATACAAAAAATGCAACCTGATGCCAATGGAAAATATCCATACACGGGTTCTTTGGACTGTGCCATGAAAACTTTGAAATCAGGAGGTCCCTTTAAATTCTATACTGGATTCCCTGTCTATTGTGTTAGGATTGCTCCTCATGTCATGTTGACATGGATATTCCTTAACCAAATCCATAAGATGGAGAAAACTGTTGGATTGTAGTGTTCCAACTGGAGTAGATCTTTGACTGTCGTAATAATTTCCTCTTTCAATTGAAGTGGAGGCTGGTTTTGGCAACTGGGCAGCCTTCGACAGTTTCCATAGGAGTTTTTATTATTATGTGATGTAAAGGGTTAGATAATATTTCTTGGGAGCCGTAATGAAAACCATCCATAATGATTTTTGGGGGAGTGGGCATTTTATTGACCAAGTTTGTTGGTCATGGTCACGGTCGTGGTTTGAAGTCAATCAAATGATTTAAGATAACTCCCCCCATTCAAAATATGTTTTTGAGTGTACCAATCAATAATTTTGGAAGCTGTTTTAGCTCTACAGTAGACTAATTAATTTTTGTTCGTTTTTCATGGTAGTTTGATTGTATAAACTACTGACAACAAAATTTGTTCTGAAAAAGACACAGTAAGTTAAGATTTGATCTAAAAAAAACCAAGATACATATATTTTTGATTCATAACAATAAATTTTCATTAAAAAGAAATAGTCAATTGCAATGGTGGGGGAGGTAAACTCTCTAAACTCTCCCCCCAAAAGATACAACCTTACAAGGTAGCCCAGAGGAACTGATTCCTTCCCACCCCTTGTTTAACGGGTGCATCTGCAAATGAATTGGTACATCTTTTTACCCATTTCACTCTCACCTCCATACCTTGAGTTAGCCACGTGAAGTATCTTTATTCATTAGTTTAAGTCCTCAATCCATCATCTTCCTTCCCTAACCTATCTATTACCACTTTAGAATCTCCTTCAATGATTAACCTGTTAACACTTAATTCCTTACCCCTTTTCACACCTTCCATCAAAGCCATAATTTCTGCATGCAGCGAGTCCCCCATGCCAGTTGGGCCTCATAAAAAAGCTATGGCTAAACCTTCCCCTGTCCTAAAAACTTCGCCAATGGTTGATGGACCAGGGTTACCTTCAATGCTTCCATCAAATTTTAGCTTAACGAAACCTGCACAAGGTGGTGACCATAGAGGTTGAGCAACACTTCTGCTTGGAGCCAATGCTACTACTTCCTTCCAGTTGTTTAGCAGTGTCGTCCTTGAATATCTCTACTGTTTTTACCCAATGAACCACCCTAGAAGTGATCACTTCTATGATTGCCTCTCTACTTTTCTCTTTTACAGCAATTTTTTTTTGGTTTGTTTCCTCCCAAATTGTCCAACAAACCACTGATCTTGTGCATCTCCACAATATTCTTCCCCTCTTTTTTGTGCAGCTACCAAAAGTAGAGTCAAAGAGGCCTTGTAGACTTGGTGGGAAAGTCCACTTGCAACCAAACAAAGAAAGAAACCAAACCCAAATATAAGAAACAAAGGGGTAGGAGATAAATAAGTGGTAACAAGACTCACCATTTACTTTACAAAGAGTGCACTGGTTAGAAGACAAGCACCAAAAAGGCTTCTTTCATTGAAGTAGGTTGCAAGTGTTAACTCATTCCAAGAATATTCCCCCAGCAGAGAACCCCAATGAACCTTATGAAACATAAGGCTCAATGGTAAGTGATTATAGGAGGGTTTCTTGGGAAAACAAGGGGTTTCTACGGAGAATTTGTTCTTGGATGCTTTGTAATTTGTGTTATTTGGGGGGTCAGCACCTCTTTTTGGGTGGTTTGCAGTTGTATTTTCTTTAATTTTTATTAATGAAAATAACTATTTCCAATAAAAAAGTGATTGTAGGAGGGTGTATATATATATTTTTTTAAGTAGGGATTTTTTTTTTCCTTGGCTAGCACTTGATTTTTCCGTAGGGGCCAGTTAATTTCTTTTACAACGTACCTTTTTTGATCAACCAGATTAATCATAGATTCCCTTATTTTCATCATCACCATCACCATCCAAGCCTTATCCCAACCATATGTGGTTGGTGGCTACATGAATCCTGTTTTTCCATTTCATTCTGTTTAATGCCATACCCATTGTTAAATTATTAGCACTTACAATCATTTCTTACTCCTTTGACCCATGTCCTTTTGGTCTACCCCTATCCCTTCTAGACCCTTCAACTTGCAACAAATCACTTCTTCTATATATATGACCAGACCATTTTAGTCTAGTTTCTCTCATTTTATCATCTATTTGATCTTTTCCTAGGTTCCTTTGAATGACTTCATATCTCGCCCTATCCTTTCTAATTTTCCATTCATTCATCTCAGCATATGCATTTTTGCCACACTTATTTTTTGGACATGTTTTTTCAGTGTCAACACTCCGCTCCATACAGCATAGCAGGCCTTACAATTTTCTATAGAAATTTCCTTTTAATCTAAGTGGTATTTGCCTATGATATAAGATTCTGGATGCACCTATCCATTTTTCTCTTCCTGCTCTAATTCTATAGGAAACATCCTCCTCAATCTCTCTTGTTATGTATTATCAAACAGAGGTGCAGGAATTCAAAGGAGAGATTGAGGAGGATGTTGTCCATAGAATTGGAGCAGGATGGGCAAAATGGAGGGGTGCATCTGGAATCTTATGTTATAAGCGAATGCCACTTAGATTAAAAGGAAAATTTTATAATTGCATCAGCATTTTTCTTACATGGACAGTAAGTGTTGATTAATTTGTTGCTTAACCCTGATTTTGCTTTTTTTTTCCTTTTAATTACTGTGGTGCAGTGGTTATATTGGTTCCAACTCGAGAGTTGGCTCTTCAGACATCACAAGTTTGTAAGGAGCTTGGGAAACATTTAAAGATTCAAGTCATGGTCACTACTGGAGGAACCAGCTTAAAAGATGATATTATGCGTTTATATCAACCTGTCCATTTGCTTGTTGGAACTCCTGGCAGGATACTCGATCTTGCAAAAAAGGGGGTTTGTGTATTGAAAGATTGCTCGATGCTTATCATGGATGAGGTATAAATATAAAATACATAAAAAATTTCTAACAAAATCTGGTTATGTACACTCATATGACACAATTATCTATGTTGCCTAGGCCTCTAGGGTGTCTTGTGCTTGCATTCTAAGTGATTATTTATGGGTTAACTTGTAATAACCTTTTGAGTTAAATGGTGCAGTAGAATGGTCTTTCTATCAATTCTAATACACTTAAATCAACTCATCAAGGCCTTGTCCTAACTTCTTGAGTTAGGCGGTTAGCTACATGGATCTTGGTTCACCATTCCACCATCAAGATCAAGCAATTGGTGTTTTCCAGAACCAAGCTTGGATAGAATGTGCACTGATTCTGAATGCCTTGATACATGTTGCATGGAATTTTGTGAAGCATGTGAACAAAATCTCAATTTCTTGCACCAAAAGCTGGATGAGTTGCATTTTTCTTTTATATCATGAAAATTATTTATGAATAGTTTATACCACCAAGTTCCTTGATCCTTTTCCCCATTCTCTTAGCAACCATGTTACATAGGCATTGTCTTAAAATGGGCCTTATAATTCATTTCCCATTTGTATGTCCTTGTCTTAGCTAAATGTGTGAAAGACGCTTTGGAGCCATATGATAACAGCTGAAGTGGCTGAACTGATGACTTATTAGTTGTCTTTCAGTGGATAAAATAATTAAATAATAAAGCACACAAGGTTGTAATAATCATCCCAACTTCAGCTTCAGCCATTCTACAGTGGACAAATTCCTTAATAATTTATGCATTAAAAGGCAGATAAATAAGCCCAGAAACAGCTGTACAAGGTTGTCTCTATTTTCAGAACCACTGGGTGAAGGTGATTCTGTAAGGGCAGAGTTACTAGCAGCGGTACAGGGTATACAGATGGCTGGTCAAATTGGAGTGAACAATTTGTTAGTAGAAGGGGATTACAAGGTAGTAGTGGGTTGACTGATAAGCCTAGAAACAGCTTGTTGGGGCTACGATGATCTGTTAAAGACAGTTAAATGGATGATAAGAAATATGACTGTCAGGTTTCAGTGGGTCAGCAGATCAGCAAATGCAATGGCTGACTCTCTGGTCAAGCAAGGGGTGTCAAAGGGGAGATCTGTTTTGGGCTACTTTGTAATTGTGTTTCAGGCTTGGGCATGTTTAGTGTATATGGTTCAGTCCTCAGGGGAGGTAACATCTCGTGCCTCCTCCTAGGCTGATTGTATTTTCATTATTTGAATTAATAAAACTACTCTCATTTATCAAAAAAAAGGCAGATAAATAAGCCATTAAGTTCAGCCACGGTTATTATTGTTGTTTTTTTTTTAATTTTTTCTTTATTCTTTTTTTGGGGGAGAAGATAATTGTGTTCATTACATGGAAGTTATATTTCAAAAAAGTGAGTACATTAGAGGATGCAGAAGATTGCCCAATTCTATGGATAGTAGCCCTTCCGGTCCTATTTCAGAAGTATAATCCTTCAAGTCTTTAACAACTTATGGGGTCAGTGACACAAGTTCTCTTCTTCCATTCTGTTCTGACACTAATAATTTGTTAGTCTTTGATGAAAAAATGCCTCCCAATAATATAAGAATTGCCAATTTTCTGGAGAATGCCATCATAGTGATGGAAGGAGCAAGAATGCAGCGTATTTTCTGATGGAGTATATTAGGTGGTTAGGGTGGATCAAACCTTTTTTACAAATTTGTTATGGGAAAATTTTACCATACAAATCCAAGGATTGGACAGAATGATGCTTGGATTTCAGAGAGAGGATGTTTATGGGGATTATCATATGTGATTTGAGTGCAAGTTCTTTCTTTGATTACATCAAACATTGAGGCAAGGGAAATGTGTTGAGGTTTGAATTATTTTAGATGATTGTAAGTACCTTCTTGGCTTAAATCAACATTCCTCTTAACCTGGCTAGATGGTGGGTTAAAGTTTTGGTGATTTGGTCTTTATGCACAATGTAAGTCAAATCTGATGGGTATCAGGGATGTTAGGATAACATTTGCTGCTTGAAGGCATTCCAGAAATAAATGGACTTGGAATTTTCTTTGTTTTCTCCCTTATTTTTTCCTTCAAGATATCATGATTTCTTTCCATGGCTTAAAATATCTACATATTTCCTAATATTTTCATGTTATATTTCCATTTCAATGGATATCAAGGTGAAATTACTGGAATAGGCCTATTCCCCATTGCAAATTACTATTGCCATTGCCATATGGAGTATAAGAGATGGTATTATAGCATGATGAGTTGGCAATAGTATTACAAATATGTGGAGCAACAATGTTATTGCTTGCCTAGTAGACATGATCACTGAGACAGGTTGAAATTCTGCTTCAGATGTGACGTTAAATTTTAGTTTTGTTTCTGTAATTGATTACTTGGTTCATCTAGAAATGTTTGTACATTTTGTGAATTTAAATTTTGCTTGAACTTACTCCATTATGTAGTTTTAAGTTTTAGCTCTTAAAAGTCTACAGGGCAACTTTGCAAAATATTATTTTGTTTATTAACCTTTGTTTTTTTTTTGTTTTGTTTTGTTACAGGAAAATAATTTAAAAGCGTGCATCTATGTTTCTTTGTCATATCCAGTGTTTTAAAAGCGCAAGGCGCAAGGCGAGGCGTGTGCCTTTTTGAAGCAAGGCGCAAAAATACAAAAAAAAGCTAAAAAATAAAAAATGTCAAAAAATAAAAAAAGCCAAAAATTCAAAAAAATAAAAAATAAAAAAATTAAACATAATAGTAATAAAAAATATAAACTTAAATTTTAAAATAATGTTTTAAAAAACCTATTATCTAAAATTAAAATACATAAACATAAGATGTAAAGCATATTCATATGAGAATTTAAAAATAAAACCAAACATATAAGACATTTTCAAGCATGTAAAACCTCTATTCTCTTTTTTCATTCAATTGCATTACTTCAAGTAGCCAATGTGATGTAAAACATATTACGTTCCTAATTCTACGAGCCGCCTTTGTGCCACGCCCCTCGAGGCAAGCCCAAACAAGTCCGTCCACGTTAGGTCTTAAATTCATAGTTTTCACACAAAAAATAGTGATTCTATAATTTTAATTGCTTTTTAAGAATACATTTTATTAGGATGAATGAATGAACAACATTACCAAATTGGGGGGGGGTGTTCTCGGAGCTTTGAAAGGGCGCACGCCTGGGCTGAGGTGCAAGGCGCATCACCAGGCGTGTGCCTTTTGAAAGGGCTGCGCCTAGGACCTAGGCGAGGCGCATACCTCGAAATGCACCTCGCCTGTGTGCCTAGGCGTGCCTTTTAAATCATGGTCATATCATAAAATAACATTGTATTTTTTTTTTGCTGCAAACATTGTTTTTTTGCATATTTCATAATGTTTTTGCTATGTACAAAATTTTTACAATATTTATATATGACGTTTCCAACATTTTTTTAGACCTATTTCCTATATTTGGATGACAACATTTCCACTAACACTGACATTTCAAACCATGCTTATAGAGAAGGAACTTCAGATTTAAAAAAAGAAAATGGGGAGATTGTCTGCATGTATTAAGTGGTTTTTGATGCCAGATATGATGGGTGCTTTGCCAAGAGGGAAGAATCTGTTGTCAGGGGGAAGAACTGTTCCCCACTATTGATGCATTGCTCATTCATTGCAGCATATGGTGGCATGCTTTCAGGATGTTTGGGGTTTCCTTTGTGCTCCCAAATAATCTCAGTAGTCTCTTTGCATCTTGGCCTTCCAAATTTCTCTGCAAGAGGGTTCCATTTTATGGAAGTTAGTTTCAATTGCAGTGTGTTGGATTGTTTTGACTGAGTGCAACGATATTATCTTCAATAGCAGAAGCTTATCCTTGGAAGCAGTGATTGGCGAGTTGCAGAGAATGCTTTTTCTTTAACCCATGCTGTTAAGGAGTTTGTGGGTCTGTCTTCTAGTTTTTGCCCATTCTGGGATAGGATCACTAGGGATGATAATTTTGTAATTAGCTTTTGATCCTTAATCTTTTCTACTCCTTTTTGAGGGAATATCTCCCTATCAGTTTTATACAATTTCTATTCGGGGATTGTCAAGTAGTAATTAGGTGGTGGTTAGGCTTGAAGGTTTTTAGCCTCTTGGGCATTCAATGAGAGCAGAAAAGGTATTGTGCTGAAACATGGTAGGGGGGCAATGATTCTGTATGTGAATGTTTTATGACATTTCCTTGTTTTGTCAGCCATGGGCTATTCTATTTGTCCCTACTCCCTTGAAGTCTAATTCCTTTGAGTAGGGTTGCAAGTCGAGCCGGGTTAGGTCAGGTTGAGGCCAACCCTTGCCCAACCCTAAGTTGTAACCCTAACCCAACCCTAACCCTAACCCAACCCTAACCCTAACCCTAACCCTAACTAAATTCCTTCAACCCTAACCCAACCCAATATTGTTTCCTCATCTTATGTTTCCAAAGGGTTTTTTGTGTGGGGCATTTGGTTTATGACAGTAACAGGAATAATCATTTTTATTTGTTGACAATAGGAGTATCCATTGATCTGTTCAAACTTCAAATCCATTTGAAGATGTATAATAGGCATAGGTAGATTTTATGTGAATAAGGGTTCTATGAATGGGATTCAGAGAAGGGAGGGAAGGAGGATTTCAAGCATAAGAGAATCTGGATCTTTTTCATATAAGTAGATGGGTTGAATGGGCTCAAGAAGTCTCTGAAGTGGAGCTTGGTTCAAGAGAGGTTTAATGAATTGTAGGGTTAAGTGAGTTTATTTATTTATTTATTTTGAATAGATAGGCTTAGGGCTTATAACCCCCTTCTCCCTTTATCTGTCGTGGAGAAAGAGGACTACAAAATTGAAATAGAAGATATTTTTGGAGTGAGGCAGGGATGAGGAGAAAATGGATATTTCATTTGAACTGTTGAAGATGCTGAGGGCTATTTGTCTGAAGAGAATCAGAAAACTGGGCTTTGAATTGGGTTGTCATGTCTTTTAGCTGTAGCAAGATGCAGTTGGGGGGGAGGGGACCTTTTTATTGTCCTGCTTTGTTTAAGTTGTTGAGACTCTTCCATCTTTCCCTTTCTAGTGCCTCAGATATTCTTGGGTGCTCATTTGGAACGTTCAGGTCTTTTGCGTATGACACGTATTGCCTTTCCTCCCCCTCCCTCCATTATAAATTTATTCTTTGTCAGGCACCTCATTACAAATCTCCTGTAGACATCTTAAATTGATTATTATATGTCTCCCTTGTTAATGTTTCTCCTCTTTCATGTGAAGCTGCCGTATTTCTCCATCCAATGTCAACAAAGATAAGCTAATCATATAAGAAAAATTTAATTAATTTCAATATGAACTTTTTTTTTTCGATAAGTACTAAAATTATTAATTGATTAATTAGATCACAGGATATACTTGACTACTTGTAAAAGGAATAGATAATGGAATATACAAAATGGAGTAGACATAAAGAATAATACAGTTTACCTCTACACCCAAAATGACATTCCATCTAAAAACAAAATTCCTTTGATGGCAACCCACAAAGCCCCTAAGAACTAAAGTTCAATCCATTGGTTTGAAAATTTAACCCCCTACAGACATGATATTGAAATTTATAAAATAATAAAAAATTCTAAACGAATAATTCTGTACTCCTTAACAACAGCATAGAATATCATTGGCAATTGAGTACCTTTTTTGTGACTCAATCTTCCTCTTCTTCTTTTCATGTTCCTTATTTGGGTGTTTCCATTTTATTTTTTGATCAATCTAGTTTGTTTTTTCCCATGTCTTACAAATCTACTGTGCACCATGTAGCTGGATTATCACTTTCCTTAAATGGGGAAAACTAAGTGAAGAAAAGTTAGTAGTAGTCTTGTACTGTTTTATCAAATGTCCTTTCTGATGGTTTTGATGCGTATGTGTTGATTGTCTTGGAAGATTTTGTTGACACTTTTGCTTTGTTTTGTTTCAAATTCTAGGCCGACAAACTTCTGTCTCCCGAATTTCAACCTTCAATAGATCAGCTAATTCGTTTTGTGCCAGCAAATCGGCAAATTTTGATGTTTTCAGCAACATTTCCCGTAACTGTTAAGGATTTCAAGGATAGATATTTACAAAAGCCATATATCATTAATCTCATGGATGAGCTCACTCTAAAGGGTATAACACAATATTATGCTTTTGTTGAAGAAAGACAGAAGGTCCATTGTCTAAACACACTTTTCTCTAAGGTTTGTTCTAAACTGATACATGTCCTGTATATTTCCTGTTTATGGATTTAACAAATATGTTTACTTCCAGCTTCAAATCAACCAATCAATAATATTTTGCAACTCGGTGAATCGGGTGGAACTGTTGGCAAAGAAAATTACAGAGCTTGGTTATTCTTGCTTCTACATTCATGCCAAAATGTTACAAGATCATCGCAATCGAGTATTTCATGACTTCCGTAATGGTGCTTGCCGGAATCTTGTTTGTACGGGTATGTTCTTACCATTTTTTAAGTCTACTTGAGTGTTTGCAATTTACTTCTTTAATCTGAATTGTGAATCTTATTCTGATTATTTCAAAATGCTTGCACTTTTTTGATGGATACAAAAGCTGACATTTTCTTATTGATTTATTTATAAGATAAAAGGTCCTTGGAAATTTCTTGTTAACATTGAGTGAAGCAAGTTTCATGTTGGCAGTTTGCTTCTGTTAGATACTGGTTGAGTACTTGAGTCTTGCTCTTGCAGTATTCAAAACATAAATCATCAAACATGTGTACTTTGTGTTTCTTTTTTATATGTATGTTTATCTATATTTTAGTCAACAATGGATTCTGATTATTGACCTGCAGAGATGGAGAGGAAATGAAGCAGAAAGGAGAGAAAATAAAGAGACAAGAGAAACACAGAAGGTTAACATGGTTTGGTTTGAAAGCCTAAATCCAAGGAAGAGGGAGAAATTAATCAACCCGATAGAACTAAAAATAGATGTCCATGAGCTCAGTCAGTCTCTTTCTCTCAAACCTAACCCAGACAATGCCCAAAATTACTAATAGGCTTCTCATAATCCCAAAATTACTCTATAACTCCACCAAATGTAATAAAGTTACAAGAACACCCTTATGTACTCCAACACTGATATGCTGCTGTCACAGTAGATTTCTCCTTGTATTACTAATCAGAAAAAAATCCTACTTTTATTTTTGATTGGAAATGGTAACTTTCATTAATTCTTTAATAAAACTTATTACAAACTGTCACCTTCAAAAATCCTACTAGTATTTGTGTGAGGGCTAGTACCTGTCTTTTGATCACCTATAGGTTCTAGATCCTATTTCTCCAGTACTTAGCTTATATTTGTCTGACAGCTGGAAACAGTTGCAAATATTTGTACTCTATCTGCTGTAGCGTTTCATCCATTTACTGGTAAAAACAGGGCTAAGGAGAATTTAAGCCTGCAGCCACAAGCTAGAATTTGAATGGAATCCTTGTGCACTTAATCAAGCCTAAAATACAGCATGATGATATTGCTCTTTGATCTCTCTTAAGGCTATAAGGTCCTCCAACCCCAAAACTAAAACTTCAGCCTTCTTATTTTTTGGAAATAAATCAGAAAGTACAGAAAGATTTATTGCAGATGCTAATCTTAATTTTTGTTTAAAATCTTTTGGTAGATTTATTTACAAGGGGGATAGACATTCAAGCAGTAAACGTTGTTATCAACTTCGATTTCCCAAAGAACTCAGAGACGTATCTGCACAGGGTATGTTAAAATCCCTCACAATGGGTGGATCTTTATGAAAGCGTATTCCTTTTCAATAATGTATGTGAATTTAACATTATTCAGGTTGGTCGGTCAGGACGATTTGGGCACCTAGGGCTAGCTGTTAATCTGATTACCTATGAGGACCGCTTCAACCTGTATGTATCGAAGTTACCCTATCATTATCAACTATATTGATGAATCCTTCAGTGTGATCTTTTTTTTCCCCTGATTGCACATACTGGTTGTATTACAGGTATAGGATTGAGCAAGAGCTTGGTACTGAAATAAAGCAAATTCCTCCGCAAATAGACCAGGCTATTTACTGCAGGTGACCTGTGATAGTAGCTTCTGCCCTGTGGTCAACAATGGTGAGTAAATGCAAAAGATATGGCTACGTCTACTCGCTGGGGCTTGCAAAGTAAGTTCTTGTTATCTAATAAATATGTTCTTTTATAATAAATATTACAGTTGGACATTCCATCTTTTTAAAGTATGTTGAACATAGTCTTTTTCTATATGCATTATGATTGTTAATTTGAAGGCATGATTTTATTTCTGGGACCCTTCTAATTTCTGGCAAGGAGGTTTGGTTTTTGTTATTTTTTGGGGGTACGTGTATTTTTCTACATGAGGTAGCCCAGATAGCTGATTTGCTTTGCGACCGACATCTTGCCCGGTGCATTTGGATCTGCCTTCCAGGTTGTTGAAGAGCCTCCAATGCATTGGGGGCTGGGGCTGATTTGTAAATGGACATGGTATGCATGTCAATTCAGAGTTTTCATCGGATGTGTGTTCTGGATTGATTTGTCAGCCCATCATGTAGGGGAAAAGGGAGACTAAAGAATCTGAGGAATATGTTTGCAAAACCTTCGCTGATGTTTTGTTCTGCTAGCAGTTTTCTGGATGCACCTCAGTATGTCATACCTCTGCTAAAGCATTGTATTTTCAAGTTGGTTTTTTAGCTGTTGTCTATGCTGTATAAGAATTTGTAGTCGATCCAATTACTTATTGGTCTATGCTCCTCTTTTTTGATGTTTGTAGTCCATGTCATATTTCCTACCAAGAACGAAAAATTTTCTGCTTTATTTCTAGATGTTAATATACATAAATACATACAAGGATCAAAATTTCATCACGTATCGGAGCCTTCCCAATACGCCCCTAGAGGGGGTGTTTTGAGTCGGCAAGTGGTTCAGAGGGTAGACCGGCCTTAAACCGGCCCCTGTGGTATATACATATTATTATTCGGTGGCTCGTTCTAGATGAGTAGATGCTAATATTGTTGCACATCTTGTCAGGCTTCTAATTATAGCTTATGGTTCTTTTGTTTGGCTGTCTCTAGGTTCTCTTAAGCTTTATTGTCCAAGAACATTTGTTTAACACTGCAACTGGACTGTTTTGAAGATGGGGGTGTAGCACATGCAACCTTCTGATGGAAACTGTATTGGTTATCATAGTTTCAATCTTCTGCTATTCTTCAAAGTTTGTAGATTTTCATAATACTATATATTTCGTAGGCTGGGAGAAGCTTTAGAATGTTTTGTTGATCCAAAGGATTGGATTTTGTTATCCTGGGTTAAGCCACATCTGTGCTTATGTTAGCTCAAGTATTATTGGCACTAGGCATGCTTTTGTTACTTAAATTCGACATATTTTACCATAAGATTAAGATTCCCCTTTTTGACGGATGCTTTATTATTATATAAATATTTTAGTGATTTAGCCCCCCCTCCCCAAGAAGATTTGGGTGGCGTTTGGGAGTGTCCTATGCATTTGGGCCTGGAAGCAGTTGGATCCAAGTTTGATTTTTGTTAATATTCGGATGGATTTCCTACATACCTCACTTTTTTGATATCACATCTGCGCCCCACATGCACATCTCAGCGTGCATTTGGAACGTCTCCCGAAGTTCAGTGGGAGATGCTTCCAATACACGGTTGGTATATGCTGTAGGGCGCAGATGTGAATTCCACTTTTTTCTACTTTCTTTGCTTTTTAGTTAATATTCGGATGGAGAAAATTCCTTGAAAACATTTTTTTTCTACTTAAAATAGGCTATACGAATTATGCTTTACATTTTTTTTCAAAGGCAAAAAAGCTATTGGAACAAAATAAAGGATGGATGGAGGCTTGTACTGATTCATTTATTGGACGCATTTTTTGCCTTTTCCTTTCTTCAGTGAACAAAAATTGTCGCCACGGCTATCTAGATTGCAATTGATATTTGTGTTACCTACGTGAAAACATCTCAGTTGTCACCCACAAGTCCACAACATCTCTTTGTCAATGTGTGGTTGAAGTGTTTGTAGGTAGCTAGATCCGAGCACCGCTGCCATGGGTTGATTATTGCCTTATTGGAGTCCTATAGACGTACAAACCGGATTCCCATGAGTGATACTCATGTCAGTAGGATAATGAAGTCAAGGCAATATGGTGCCGGGAGGGTAATATACGGTATACCTACCACCGGAAAAAAATGAGGCTATTATACCGGAAGGACTTTGACCGATCAATACCTCCAGTGAATTTTGACGAATACCCATGCGATTGATTACCGTATGACACCAATTAATTGGTTATCAATTTCATTGGTATCATGCTCTTTTGTTTCATACTCGGACTAGACAAGGAATTAGAATGTAAGCATTGCATGTGCTGACTCTGGGATAATTAATGCTGAAACCTTGCTGAAAACCCCAATTTTATTTCAGCATCTATATAATAACTCTCTCCCTTGTGCCAGCGGTCCAAATGGATGGGTTAGGGTTGGATTTGGGTTGAAGACGAACCCATCCACCTACCACCCAAACCCAAGGTTCAAACTTTAAATTTAAGCAAGTGAATCTTTATTAAGGAAAAAATTAGTTTTCAGTTTCTCATAATGCCATGTATCATCACTATATTAGTTTAGTCCAAATACAAAATTAAACTCGATTAAGAATTACATATTTTTTTTTAAGAATTACACAATTTTATGTGATTGCCCTAAATGGGTACCCATCAACCAACCTGATCAAACCCTTTTTGGTTGACCTATAGGGTTTGGGCAGATTATTAGCGGATGGGTTGGATGTGTTAGGGTTGTAAATGGACTTTGAAAGTCTGAAATCTGATTTGATATCATCCAATTATTTCGGATACAGATCTTAAAACCTGAATCAATTAATAATGGGATTGGATGTGGATTTTATCCCATCGGATCCCATTAAGATCCAAGTTCATTTGAAAATCATTAACACAAAACAGGCCATGTCAGCAGGCCTTCTTTCTCCTCTCCCTAACCATGCCTTCTCCTTCATTGAGTCTCTCTCCTCATTATACCCTTCCTAGGCTCTTAACCCTCTTCCTCTCATGTCACCACATCAGCAAGGCCTCTATCTGTTAGATAGTGTATGCCCTTAGCTCCAATCGGAATGATGTACATTATGACATTTATTGTAAATGAATAAAGTACAAATTTGATTCATGTTATTATGGTGTGTTTCTGTGTAATACCCTTAAACTGGATACATGAGATTCGTGTTAGTTTAAAATCTTCATAGCCGTTGGATATATCTGGGGAGATTTATCTTGCCAAGGCAGACACTGATGTGTCGCCAAGTTGGTTGGGGTGGTTTGTCTCAGCTGCCAGGGTGAGACCTGAGGTGCATGTAGTGTGGGTTTTCTTGAAACCCTGAACCAGACCAGAACTCCAGTATTGCCCTATACCTTAGAGATAGATGGGAAAATTGGAATGTCACACCTGACCCCTAGACTCGATTATGATACTACACTAGGTGTCGGATTGGGCTGTCTTGATATGCCAACCAGTGAGATCCTTAAAGGGGGTTAAAACCTGGGTATGTTGGGACAGTCTGAGAATTCATCTGAGTGGGTGATCATAATGACATGATCAGCCCCTTTGTCGGACAAAGTGAATGATCGGGGATGCACTCTCTCTGATGGAAACCTAAACTACCAGCAGTTGATTTCAACCGTTGAAATTTGTTTTGCAAATTATATTTATATGGTTTCAAAATGTTTGCAAAAGGTTTTAATTCCCAGGATCCATGTGAGTAGAGAGTGCAGCACTATACTTTGCAGCCGAGGGAGAGGTCCTCTCTTGTCGGGCAGTGTTTGATCATTATGGCCTGAGAGGTTAAGTGTAAGACCATTGAGGGTAATACCTGATGGGCTAATCTTGCATATGCCCACAGTCCTTGGGTTTTTATAATGTGACTTGACCCAATGACCATTTAGTGTAAATGTTGGGCCCATTAAGAGCCCATGGTGATAGACTCAGGGGTTCACTGTCTCCTACAGTGAATTCGGCCAGGCCTTATAACAGAGGCTATGCTGAGCCCATGTGTCTGATGTGTAGATCAATGTTTGGGTCCTACACCATACAAGATAACCAACTAGGCAGCAGTTAGGAGGCTAAGTGAGTAGATGGACTTAATGGGCCTAAAGCCCAATTCGAACTGGCTTAATGAGATTAATTAAAAGATGGCGGTTCTGAGATTTAGATCAGCAGATAGGATAAGGGATTATCCCTATCCACTCAAAGAGTCTACACCCCAATAAAGATTTGGATCAGGAAACTTCTAATTAGATTAGGAGGGCTGATCTTTATCTACAGATAAGATAAGGGATCTTATTTCTTAAAGAGAGTCCAGATCCAAATACAAGATTTGGATTAGGAAACTCCTAATGGGATTAGGAAAACCTCTCTTTAAGGCTATAAATAGAAGAGCAGGGCGAACCTCCAGATCATCTGACCGACTGCTGAATTGTAGAGAGAGACAACACAGTTTGAGTGCACTATCTCCTTCTCTCCTGCTCTTGCCGCCATACCAGTTCGATCTCCACCTGTGGAAGCGATCAAAAAGGGTTCTTGATATTACCTTTTGGTTGAAAAGGTAATCTGAAGTCGTGCTCACTAGCCCTCTATCAGATTCTTGCTGAAGAACCATCATGCTGATTCTGCTTCATCCTGTTCCGTGTCATCTTTGGCGGAAACAGTTTTTGGATTTTTCCTTGGGCGTGAACACCTTCATTGGAGGTTATTACTACTTTGTATCAGGTATATCCCTCCACTCCTTTTTGGTTTCAGATTTGGTCTGGTTTGGGTTCAAGATTGATCATTGAAAATGTAGTTTTCTAAAATAGGGAATGTGATTCCCACATGGGAGAGTGAGAAAATTTTGAAATTTCGCCCAACCTTCTTACAGGGTTCGACCATCCATATGATGGATCTCTCATCCCTTCACTATCCTTCCCCCCCGCCCCACTTTATTGGATCAAGTTGCACTTCAAAATTGTGATACACTCAAACCCCTCATATTTTAACTTTTTTTTAGAAAATCAGTCAAATCATTCCCGTTCGGGAATATTATACTTCGCTTTCATCCAAACCATTAGCTACATTTAGGGGTGGCAATTTATCAATCCAACCCACCAACCCACCCGACCCACCCAAGCAATTGACGGGTTGGATTGTAACCAAGGTTTAAAGTATCGGAAATGTAAGGTGTATCATAAAGGTAAATTGCCACCCAAACAATAATAAAAAAGGAGTTTTATGTGAGTATAATTAATTTATTTAAACATAAAAACTATTCTTTAATGATTTATATAAAGTATCGGGATATAATTAGTAACCATTGAAAAATAATAGAATAACTAAAATGTGTGTGTATATATACTAATATTTATTAGTTAATATTTTTTTGAAGTCATTTATTAGTTGGGTTGGGTTGGTCAGGTTGAACGTCAGGTTGGGTTAGGGTTTAGAACTTAGGGTTGGGCTAGGGTTGGCCTCAACCCGACCTAACTCGGCCCGACTTGCAGCCCTAAAATAAGTAATTTTTATTATCTCATAAATTAAGTAATAAAAAATAAAAATATAGAATTTTTTGTAAATTTTATAGAAAATTTTGAACATGCATTAATATTATATATTCTTCATATTAAACAAAAATATGTTTGAAAAATAAGAATTATTGTTAGTAAAGATAGAAATGGCTAAAATACAAAGAAAAAAATGAATTAATGTCTTAATCATAGTCAATTTTTCTGGTTAAATAGGTTAATGATTCAACTAGTAAGGTCATTTGGTTGCTGACTATCATCATCATCATCATTTGATATTGGCACATGCAACACACACGTGCACTTTTACTAGTACTTTTAAAAGTATGAAAAACCCCAAAAGCATGAAGTTAGGTTTTTATACCTTGTGCTTTTGGCGAAATTGTGTTTTTATTTTCCTGCAAATAGGTGGTCACGTGTGACCACCCTTTGATAAAACTACCGACCTTACCTCCGCTCGCCATTTCTAGAGTTGGACCGTCGTCACCAGTCTCTGACCCCAAAATCATTGGAAGCGGTCATCGGAAGTAAAAGCAGACATGCTTTTGCCAAATAGAAAATGACACTTGTTTTGGAAAACATACTTTTCTAAAGTTTTTATTCAAACGATTTTCAAAGCAAAAATACCAAAGTGAAAGTATTTTATGTAATTTATACTTTAATATTTTTAAAGGTATATTACAAAGGCCCCCCGTACTATGGGGTTAGTGACAAAGACCCCCTGTACTTTTTTTCTTTTTTTTGCAACAAAGACCCCTCCCTATGTTAGTGTTCTATTAGATAACTTCGAACAAGATTCTGATTTTACTTTTTAAAGTTTTCTAAATCCCTAAACTAC